GTAAGTCAGAGATGAATGACCCATTTTATAGATGAGGACACTAGAGCCCGGAGAAGGCAAATGATTTGTTCCATGTCACACAGCACATTAGTGCCAGAGCTGGGCCTTTAATCCAGGCCTTCTGAATCCTTGTCAGGGCTCTACCTCCAAACCACTGACCTATCTATACCAGTGGGGTTCCAGGAGGATTGGAGGCCCTCTGAGGGCTTCTCTGAGTGGTCATCTCATTTGTTAGACAAGCCAGTTAGAATCAGGCAGTCTATTGTGGACCAAGGATTCATACCATAGTCCTAGTCTCGGCCAGGCAACCCCTAAATGTGGCCCTGGTCTGCAGGAAGGGTCTGCATTTAACTGCAAACCTTGCTTTTCCCCTCAACCCCCATGTGCCAACAGGTGAAGAAGTACTCATAAGCTTACCTACAATCGGTTTTACTGTTTCCGTGTGCGCGAAGTTGTGCTGGGCATGCATGCTCTCATTAAATTCTCATCACAACCTTAGGAGTTTGGCCTTCACTGTCCAATTCTAATAGATGCAGAAACTGGTGCTCAGGAAGGTCAAGTCACATCCCCAAGGTCACACAGTCATGGAGACGTAATACCAACACAAGTCCACCTAACTTGAAAGTAGCCTGGCTGAACCATGGTGATGCTCTCTCTGCTCCTACAGAATGCAGAATGGTAGCTTAAAGAGGTACCCGGATCATACCTGTTATCCCAGCACTTTGGGAGGCCGAGGCAGGTGGATCACAAGGTCAGGAGTTGGAGACCAGCCTGAGCAACATGGTGAAACCCCGTCTCTACTAAAAATACAAAAATTAGCCAGGAGTGGTGTCACGTGCCTGTAATTCCAGCTGCTCTGGAGGCTGAGGCAGGAGAATCACTTGAACCTGGGAGGTGGAGATTGCAGTGAGCCAAGATCGCGCGACTGAACTCAAGCCTGGGTGACAGAGCGAGACTTCGTCTCAAAAAAATAAAAAAAGAAAAAAAAAAAAGGAGAAAAAGAAGGCACCCGGGAGCTGATTCTTTTTCTCTTGGGTATGTATTTTTTCCTCAACTGAAGCTATGGCTGCTGGACCAATTCCTTGGCACTGGAAAAAGCAGACTCTGAGGACTCTGAGGGACTTGGAAATAGTTGGCCCCTGGGAAGTGACTGGGTGTCCCCAACACTCCCTCCCATTGCCCAGTTTCTCAGCTTGGTGATCTTGCAGAAGGGCGTGGCTGGGCTGCTGGCAATTCGCAGCTGACCTGGAGGAGAGAAGCCCTAGTAACTTCCTTGGCTTGAATCTAAGCCCCTGCTGAAAAGGAACATTTTGGCAGTTTCCTTTTCTTTCTATTCAACTTGGGCTCCCTGAAGCTTTTGCCCCTGAAACAACCCAGCCACCCGGCCTGCCCTCCTGCCCTCCCAAGGGCACCGGTTTTGGAAGACACGACCAGGCAGGAGCTCTCACCTGCCACGCTGCTCCCCTAGGCACCACAGCAGCAAGGGGCAGGCACACGATCTCTCTATCAACAACAATTACAGCAGCTTCTCTGTGCCAGACACCACACACACAGGCTCGAGGGAGATGGCAGGGAACAAACCATTCTGGCCCCTGCCCTCATGGAAATTGCAGCCTCGTGGCGGAAATGCACTGCAGGTCCATAAGTGAATACATCATGGTTTCAGACAGTGATAAATGCCTTGGACAGGATGAAACAGGATAATGGCATAAACAGCAATTGGCGGGGGTTTGAGCGGGGAGGGAAGGGACTGAAGGGAAAGGGAGCAGGCACCTGAATGAGGAGGCAGTTGTCTTGGTTATCTATAGCCGCCTAACAAACCCCCAAACTTAGTGGCTTACAACAACCATTTTCATGAGTCTGGTTGGCCTGAGTGGTTCCTCTGCCCGTTTCTCCTGGTCATACTTGCAGCTGCATTCAGTTGGAGTCACAGCTGAGCTGGAAGGTCCAAGAAGGCCTCGCTCACACATCTGGTGGCTATCGCTGGCTGTTGGCCAGGGTGTCTCAGATCCCTATCACATGGCCTCCTATCCTCCAGCTGGTAGACCAGCTGCCTTATGTGGTGGTCTAGGAGCAGCATTCCAAGAGGGGGAAGGCACAAGCTTGCAAGGTCTCTTGAGGCCTAGGCTCCTGAACTCATAAAGGGTCACTTCTGCCACATTCTGTTGTCAGAGCAAGTCACAAGCCCGCCCAGATTCAAAGGGCAGGTAAAGGGATGCCACTTCTTGATGTGGCAGTAACAGCAAAATATTTGTGGCCTTACTTATGGGACATGATCAGCCGGGTGTGGTGGCTCACACCTGTAATCCCAGAACTTTGGGAGGCCAGGGTGGGCAGATCATTTGAGGCCAGGAGTTCAAGACCAGCCTGGCCAACATGGTGAAACTCCATCTTTGTATTTTATAAATTTATAAATGTATATTATATTTTGTATGAAAAGAGACATCATCTACATTGCAGATAGTAACAAAAATGATTTTGAAGTGTACCAAAGTTGTGATTAGTATGAAATCTTTTTTTTTTTTAAATTTTTTGAGACAGGGTCTCACTCCATTTCCCACGCTGGAGTGCAGTGGCACGATCATAGCTCACTGCATCCTCAAGCTCCCAGGCTCAAACAGTCCTCCTGCCTTGACCTCCTGAGTAAGCATGCACCACAACACCGAGTTAATTAAAAAACTATTTTTGTGTAGAGATAGGGTCTTGCTCTGTTGCCCAGGCAGAACTGTAGCAACACAATCATAGTTCACTGCATCCTCAAACTCCTCAGCTCAAGCGATCCTCCCACCTGAGCCTCCTGAGTAGCTGGGACTACAGGAGTGTGCCACCCTGCCTGGCTACTTTTTTCTTTTTTTTTTTTGTAGCAATGGGGTCTCACTATGCTGCTCAGACTGGTTTTGAACTCTGCCTGGGGCTGTCCTCCTGCCTTGGCCTCCCAAAGTGCTAGGATTACAGGTGTCAGCCACCACACCTGGCCTATGTGGCCATCTTTAATCTGCGACATCATCCATGTCAAGATCTCTGAGAAGAGTGTTCCAGGCAGAGGAAGAGCAGGTGCAAAGACCCTGGGGTAGGATGGCATCCAGAGACCTGAGCCTTGAACAATGGTATGATGGTTGATACTGACTGTCAACTTGATTGGACTGAAGGATACAAAGTATTGATCCTGGGTGTGTCTGTGAGAGTGTTGCCAAAGGATATTAACATTTGACTCAGTGGGCTGGGAAAGGCAGACCCATCTTTAACCTGGGTGGGCACCATCTAATCAGCTGCTAGAATATAAACAGACAGAAAAAATGTAAACGAGAGACTGGTCTAGCCTCCCAGCCTACATCTTTCTCCTGTGCTGGATGCTTCCTGCCCTCAAACATCGGACTCCAAGTTCTTCAGTTTTGAAACTTGGACTGGCTCTCCTTGCTCCTCAGCCTGCAGACGGCCTATCGTGGGACCTTGTGATCGTGTGAGTTAATACGTAATAAACTCCCCTTTATATATACATATACATATACATACACACATATACACACACATATACATATATACACATATATACATATATATACACATATATATACACATATATACATGCCAGTAATTATGTCCCTCTAGAGAACCCTAATACAAATGGGTTCCTCTACTCCCTTAGTTTCCTGTCCTATAAAGTGGGAACTAAGGATGTCTCCCTGCCTCCTTTATAGGAATACAGGATGTAAGATGCTTTGCTTCAGGGCTGGGTTAGGATTTTGGTTATTGGCCAGTGGCAGGGAGGAGAGGCCAATACAGGAGCTCAGCTTGGCTTCCCCCAAGCTCACCAGCGTTTGTTGAGAAGCACTGTCTGTCAGGAAGACACAGTGCTCACCACCACAGGTCACAGCAGGGGAGTCTGAGGGTTGCTGATCTTGCCAAGCTTATGGGATAAAAAGATTGTTTGCTGCCCCAGATGTGACTGAGACATACCAGATGCATCTCAGAAGAAAATAGCTTCTGAGGGAGTCCTCCCCACAGGGAAGTCTATGGGGCTCAGGGAAGGCCTGGAGGAGAGAGGGTTCCAACAAGGCTTTGAGGGGCACACAGGATTTGGCTGAAGGAGGGGAAACTGTTGATAGGAAAAGTGTAAGGGGCTGTGGAATTTAGTAATTCACTGCAACAAATGTTTGCGGAACCCCTGCCGTACCTCACGTGAACAGGACAGGCAGAGAGAGGCACTCCTCCACACAGAGGAGATACAACACAGGCCTCGAAAGGAAGTGATGATGCTTCAGAGGCCTGAGGATGAGTCAGGTCAAGCACTGTGGGGCACTGGGAGGAGATGATACCAAGAGGGTTCCAATGAAAGGACATCTGCAAAGGACAGAGAGGAGAAGGAGGGCTTGAGTTTCTCAAGTAAAGGCAACAAGCTGTGTCTGAAGCAGAGGGTCCATATGGAAGAGAGCAGAGGGATGAGCTCAGGGCCAAACTGGTCTCATGGGCTAACTAAAGACTTCATCCTTTATCCTGGCCAGGTGTGGTGGCTCACACCTGTAATCCCAGCACTTTGGGAGGCCAAGGCAGGCAGATCACTTGAGGCCAGGAGTTTGAGACCAGCCTGGCCAACATGGTGAAATTCTGTGTCTACTATAAATACAAACATTAGTTGGGCATGGTGGTGTGCGTCTGTAGTCTCAGCTACTCAGGAGGCTGAGGCAGGAGAAATGCTTAAACCTGGGAGGCGGAGCTTGCGGTGAGCCGAGATGGTGCCACTGCACTCCAGCCTGAGTGACAGGCTTTTGAGATTCCATCTCAAAGAGAAAGAAAGAAAAAAAAAAAGGCTTTGTCCTTTTTCCTGAGGGCAATGTATGTAGGAACACCAGATTTAGCAAAATAAAATATAGGTTGTCCTGTTAAATTTGGATTTCATATGAACAACAAATAATTTCTGTAGCATGTGTATGCAATATCTGGGACATTCTTATACTAAAATATTATTCATTGTTTATCTGAAGTTTTGTTTTTGTTTTTGTTTTTTTTTTTAAGACAGGGTTACACTATGTTGCCCAGGCTGGCCTCAAACTCCTGGCCTCAAGCGATCTTCCTGCCTCAGCCTGCTGAGTAGCACTATGGGTGTGTGCCACCATACCCAGCTTGAAATTCAGTTTTAACTGAACCTCCTGTATTTTCTCTGGAGACCTTAAGTGTGGGATCATGGAAAGGTTTTAAGCAGGGTGAGGACAAGGTCAGATTTACATTTTGGGAAGCTCCCAGGATTCATGGGAAAATAGACTGGAGAGAGACCAGGAAGGGGCGGGGGATGAGGTTCCTCCTATTGTCCAGGCCAAAGAAGTGGAGGTCACCACCAGGAATGGGGCCATTGCATCATGTCTTCCAACACATCTGCCTCCCCAGCTAGGCATGTGGCCTTGGATAAACCCCAGCTCATGAAGCCCCAGAGGGCTGCAGGCCAGTGAGACCCCAGCTCTGCTGTGTGAGCCACCGGCATGGTTTGCTGCCTCCCGGATGCTCATCTGCCGAAGGGGCCAGAGGATCAGAGAGATTGTCCATGAGGGCCCGTCTGCTTCTGCTTCCGGGGCCCTCCGCCCATCCTGGGGCCCCCCGCCCATCCTGGGGCCCCCCGCCCATCCTCTCTCTGATACCTCTCCTGGCGTGGGCCCACCAGGGTGAAAAGTCCAAACCTGAGATGCCTGGCTCCCAGATCATCCTTCCTGTGCCTCCTTGCTCCTTCTTCCCTCCCGCCATCACTCTGCCCGATGAATGCCTGAAAGGGCCCCGCATCTCCTCTCTCCAAACTCAGGTGCCAGGCTTGGTTTTGGAGAAGGGTCTCAGCCTGTGTTGACAGCCTGCGATGTGTGAAGCTAGGTCTTCGGCATCACTCGTTTTACTGAATCCTCACAGCAGTGCTACAAGGAAACCATCATCCCCATTTCACAGATAAGGGGGACTGAGGCTCAGTGGTCCATTTGCTGACCCAGTCACACAGCTGTGCAGGGGGCAAACCTGGAGTGGAGTCCAGGTCTGGCTGGCACCAGTGCTCTGCCCTCCCCCTGTCTCCATGAAATGTACCCAGGAGCCCCTAATCCCCCATTGATTTAGTGCTTGGGCTCAGTCAGCAGTCTTCTTGTTCCACTGCAGGCATGTGCAGCCCCGGCTCTTTCTGAGTTAAGCCAGGGACTGAAATGGGTCAATGATGCTCATCTGTTGGGAGCTTTATGGTTTATGAAGCCCTTTCCCATTTGTGCCCTCCTCACAACCCCACGGAGACTCTGCACGGCCCCTCCAGCTCTTGGAGGCTGCATTTTGCCGCAGTGAAGGCCACATAAAATATTAACAGGGCAGCTCCTGGCCCCGCTGTGACGTCAATTACGGGGCTGCTTGGTGAGGGCTGCGGATGCCTTTCCAAGGTGAAGCGGTGACCGGAATTCAGCTGGCTCAAATGGTGTCCCAGGAGGCTGGCTGTCAGGACTCGGAGAAGATGCTGCTAATGTGAGGCGTGGCAGGAATCCAAAAGCTTTCCTCTGATCTTTCTGGCTCCCTCAGGGCCTGGTGGCATCCTGAGGCTGGCGAGATGCATTCAGTCATTTGGCAGATATTTACTGGGCACCTGCTGTATGCCAAGCACAGTGCGAGGCTCTGGAGAGACGGCTGTGAACGTGATGAGGTCTTTGCATAGTGGTGCTCCCTGTGTGGTTGAAGAAAGGGAGAAACCCAGCTCTGTGGGCTAGGGCAGGTGCCCACTCCAGCCTGAGGCCAAGGGATCCTTCCAAAAGAAGTCAGGGTGATACTGAAACCTGAAGAAGGAGCCCCAGTTAGGTAGGGAAAGAGGAGGGGTGAGAGAACAGACATAGAGAATACCTTTTGAGCTCGGATCCTGGTTCTACCTGTTCCTAGCCATTTATCTACAAATTAGGTTCCCACCACGCAGGGTTGTTGTGAGGACCAAATGAAGCCGTTGCTAGCAACAGCACAGTGAGGTGCCCAGTGGCTCAGGAGTAACTGCTGTGAAAATAGCTCCAGGCCACGCATGGTGGCTCACACCTGTAATGCCAGCACTTTGGGAGGCTGAGGCGAGAGGATCGCTTGCATCCAGGAGTTCAATACCAGCCAGGGCAACATATTGAGACCCTGTCTCTATAAAAAATAGAAAATTAGCCAGGTGTAGTGGTGCACACCTGTAGTCAGTCCCAACTACTTGGGAGGCTGAAGTGGGAGGATCACTTGAGTCCAGGAGGTCAAGGCTGCAGTGAGCCAGGATTGCGCCACTGCACTCAGCCTGGGTGACACAGGAAGACCTAGTCTAAAAAAAAAAAAAAAAAAAAGGAAGGAAAGAAAGAAGGGGAAGGAAGGAAGAAGGATGAAAGGAAAGAAAGAGAGAAAGAAAGAAAGAGAGAGGGAAAGGGAAAGAGAAAAAAAGAAAAGAAAAAAGAAAAGAAATAGTCTGTGTTTTATATGATTCCTTTGCATTGCCAGGAATTCTTGCCCTCATTTTGTAAGCAGAGAAACTACTGAGGCTCAGAGAGGTCAGAGAGGTGACCCGACATGGCCAGGGTTATACTGTGGATTAGACCCCAAGTTGGACATGTGACCATAGGCTCTGACTTGGGCTTTTTGCCATACTCTATCCACAGGCAACCCAAGCAATTATTTCAGCTCAGTGAGACACAGAATCCCACTAGTGCTTCCCAGTATGAGTTCCTTGGCTGCATGTCCAAGGGTAGTCTCAGCCTTCTTTGCGGTAAGGCCACAGCTGTCTGATGCTTAGCCCAGGGTTGGGCTTTGGGAGGCCTGGGCATAGGCTTGATTTCACTAACCTGCTGTGTGACTGTGGGTGAATTACTTTCCCTTTCTGAGCCTCAGTTACCACAGGGCCAGCTGAATGACCAGCTGTTATTGTCTGGGTCTCTGATCTTCCCAGTAGTGCTGTGGCAAAGGAACTACTTTAAATTCCATATTAAAGATGAAGAACCAGGACAGGCGCGATGGCTCATGCCTGTAATCCCAGCACTTTGGGAGGCTGAGACAGGCGGATCACTTGAGGTCAGGAGTTCGAGACCAACTTAGCCAACACAGTGAGATCACGTCCGTACAAAAAATACAAAAATTAGCCGGGCATGGTGGTACATGCCTGTAATCCCAGCTACTCAGGAGGCTGGGGCAAGAGAATTGCTTGAATCTGGGAGGCAGAGTTTGCAGTGAGCTGAAATCACGCCACTGTACTCCAGCTTGGGCAACATGCGAAACACTGTCTCAAAAAAAAAAAAAAAAAAATAAGGAACCAGTGGTCTGAGATGGACAAAGTGGCATGCACAAGGCTACACAATTACCAAGTGGGGGCCAGGATTTGGGGATAGCCCGTTGCTGGCAGAGCTGGCCATCAGTCCACCATGCTGTGCTGCCTCTTGGAGTAAGAAAGCCAAACTGAATTGTCTCCAACATCTTTATTATGGGCCTGTGATTCTGTGAGTTCCCTGCTGCCCCAGGCCTTCAGGGCTCAATGACTTCATGGGGAAGCCATTTCAGGTTAAGCTGGTCCTCCAACTGTCCCCATTTAAAGTAGGTAACAGCCCAGTAGGCAGCACTCCCTCCCTCCCTCAGACACAGCCTCATTCCTCCTGAATGAAGAGGTGTAGCGAGGACAGTGACATGCCCTTTTTATTCTCCCCCATCCCTCTCCACCCCGCCTCCGACATGCCCATTTTATGGAAAAGAAAACTGAAACTCAGAGAGGTCCAACAACTTGCCTGGGTTTCCCCAGCTACTATAGAAGAGCTAGATTTGAGGCTGGGTCTGGTAACTCCATATCTTGTACTCTGAATAGCTGCAAGCTGGCCAGATTCAACAGGACAGCCCTCCTCCTTCTCTGGGCTCCCTCCCGGCTCCTGCAATCCTGCCTGCCTTCCCCCTTGCTCCCTCCCTTTTCTTGCCTTTCACTCAGCTGTCACTTAATGTTAGCTGTCAGCTGATTTCAGGTGTTCCCCTTCCTGGGGTGGAAGGGGAGAGGACAAAAGATCTTGGCCACTCACAAAGGGGGCTCTGGTGATGGGAGTTCTGTAATACGCAGAAGGTGTAACTGAATTCAATTTAGCATTCATGGAGCAGTGCCTGGATCCAGGACACTCAGCCAGGCATCCCAGGGGCTCAGATGGTGAATGAAACACAGGCCCCATCCTCCAGTGTTTACAGTCTATTACAAAGGACAGGGCTGCCTCCTAAGGAAGTGGGAAGCAGAAGATGTATGTAACAAAGAGTGTGAACCTTATAGTCAGAAAGACCTGGGTTCAAATCCTAATTCTTCGTTTAATAGCAGCATGACTTTGGGTAAGAGGATGCCTCCCTGAGCTTTAATTTTTCCATCTGTTTAATGAGTGTAAGAGGAATAGCTCCCATGAGGATTAAATGAGACCTTATACTACATTAAATGACAAAACATAGTGCTTGATGCCCAGTAGCAAGCCACAGACATTCCTACCAGTGTCACTCTAGGCAGACAATGGATACCAGAGTCACAGTGGGAGTAGGTGGAAGGCGAGAGCACTTCTAAGTTGGAGAAACTTACCTCCTCTTTAGAGGAGCTAAGATTTCAGTGGGTATTAAAGGAGTGTAAGAAGCAGAGAATGAGGTGGAGGGATGGGAAAGAACATTCTGGAAACTCATGGGCAGAGTCTGGGAACCTGGTGGGCCTAGTGTGTCCAGGAAGTGGGTGATGACCTTGAGAAGATGGGCCAGGGGCAGGTTATGAAAGGCCAGGTAGAGGAGTTTGTATCTTTAAAGAGGGAATGGGTCCTACCCACGACCCCAGGGGCAGCTCAGTGCTGTCTCTGCAGAGGCCAGCCAGCCTCCTACAGGAGTCGGCCTTCTCATGTGGCTATGGTCCTCTCAGATCTCTTTATCTCCTGAGTTGGGGCCAGCCTGCCACCATTATCTGTAAGAAGACAGAAGGCTATAACAATCTGCTTGCCTCCTACTAACATACTGGGGAGAAAAAAATGTTTTTTAGCATAGTTGCCTGGCAGAGAACCATGGTGAAAATTCAGCGACCCTCTCCCTTGCTTCCCAGGGTACAGTTTCAGCAGCAGCTGATGACAGTTATGCTGATAGCTCAACAGCTAAAAGAATGTTCTCAGGCTCTCTGAAGGTCAGGGGCAGTGGTGGGAAGAACGGTGAAGATGGAGCAGAGCCCCTGCTCCCTGTGCTGTAGCTGGGCAAGACACTTAACCTCCCTGGGACTCAGTTTCCTCATCTGTAAAATCAAAACAATAATACTGACCTTGCCTTAACCAAGAGACAGCATAGTAGCAAACTGCTGGCCCATGGCCTGCTTGCTATGAAGTAGGAGTTCATTACCTTCTTCACTCCCGGTCTTGACATGGTCCAAACACTTGTCTTTTGAAGCAACCCTGTTGTATCCTCTTGAGTTGTCATGACATTGTCTGCTGGTCTTCCAATGGTGAAATATCCTAGACACTCAGAGCTGAAAAAAAAAAAAGGTACTTTGCCATTCATCATTGCAGCCTCTCATTTCACAGATAAGAAATCCAAGGCTCGGGGCGAAGGAACAGCCTTCTCCAGCTTTCCTGGACCATGCACAACAGCCCCTCCCACCCCAGCCCACCCAATGGGAACCATGTGAAAGCTTGAGGCAGTTATTCAGATGGTTCAAGCCAAAAGATCTAGAAAATTCTTGCTAAGAAACACAAGCTCCCAGACCATCTGCAGAACTGAAACAAAAGCCTCTTTCGCCCTCATTTTAACTGCAACTCAATAGGTGTTGGCTTTGCCTTCTCCCCCAGAGCTGAGCTCCTCTGAACAAGCTGGTGGGGGGCGGGCGCTGGGACTGGGGCTCTGAGCTCCACCAGCTCATAGAACCAGCTCACAGATTGCAGCTAACAGGACATTTTCGCACTTCTTAATGCCAAAAGCTGCCTTGGGTGCTGGTTTGCTTCCAAGGCGGGCTTTGAAAGAGGGTTGGAAGGTTCTAGATGATCCTGAAATCTCTGCGCTCAGGATGCTCTTAGTTAAGCAAGGGGTGAGATTTGGTGTCAGCAAAAGGATATTGGGGTCAAAGTAGATAGTGCAAAATGGAGTTGAGTGGGGAAGGCTTCAGATGACTGCAAGAATCCGACTCTTCTAGGCCTCAGTTTCCTCATCCATATAGTGGGGCTAACAGCCTCCTTCCAAGTGAGGATGTGGGGAGATAATATGAGAGTAAAGTGTTCATCCTCAAATCAGGCAGAGGGTAAGTGATTAAAAAACAAGAGCCGCTGTCTGTCTGTGTTATTGCTGGTGGTTTTATTATCATTGACTGGGTCAGTAAGGTCACCTTGACTGCAGGTGGCCTACAGTGGGAGAAAAAGTTAAAATCCTATCTGGGTGACATTAATAATTTGTGGACAGGCGGCTACTCCAGCTCAAGATGGTAACCATGCCAACATTGCAAACGCCATCTCTCCAGAACAATATCATGTCTCCTTTGTAATAGGTCCCTTGGTGTGCAGACTTCTCAGCAGCTCAGAGTGTCTCAGAGTATCCAAGAGGGGGAAAAAAAAAAAAACCAGGACGTGCCTTTTCTGGGTCATCTATTCACTGGGCTCTGGTGGAGGGTTCTGGCAACGCTTTAGAAATGCAGTCCCACGTGAAGAGCAGTCGTGACCACTGGCTCTGGGTGGGATGCAGGTGAAGAATTCTTTTTTTTTTTTTGAGCCTTGTTGTCCAGGCTGGAGTGCAATGGCGTGATCTTGGCTCACTGCAACCTCTGCCTCCAGGGTTCAAGCGATTCTCCTGCCTCAGCCTCCCAAGTAGCTGGGATTACAGGTGCCCGCCACCACACCTGGCTAAATTTTTGTATTTTTAGTAGAGATGGGGTTTCACTATGTTGGTCAGGCTGGTCTCAAACTCCTGACCTCAGGTGATCCACCCACCTTGGCCTCCAAGTGCGTGGATTAACGGCGGTGAGTCAATATGCCTGCTTTTTTTTTTTTTTTTTTTGAGATGGAGCCTCACTCTGTTGCCAATGCTGGATGGAGTGCAATGGCATGATCTCAGCTCACTGCAACCTCCGCCTCCCAGGTTTAGCGATTCTCCGCTGTCTCACCCTCCTGAGTAGCTGGGATTACAGGCACATGCCACAACCACCCTGTCAATTTTTGTATTTTTAGTAGAGACGGGGTTTTGCCATGTCGGCCCAGGGTGGTCCAAACTCCTGACCTCAGGTGCTGCCCCCCTTGGCCTCCAAAAGGGTTGGATTACAGGCATGAGCCACTGCGGCTGGCCCCAGTTTTTCTTTTCTTTATTTTTTGACGGGAATCTCATTTTGTCGCCCAGGCGGAGTGCAGCGGCGCGATCCTCGCTCACTGTAACCTCTGCCTCCCGGGTTCAGCGATTCTTCTGGCCTCAGCCTCCCAACGTAGCTGGGGACTACACAGGCGCCCACCACCAACGCTCCAGCTAATCTTTTTGTAATTTTAGTAGAGACAGGGTTTCACCATGGTGCGGCCCACGGGATGCGTCTTGATCCGTCTGACCTCATGATCTGCCCCCTCTGGCCCCCAAAGTGCTGGGATCTACAGACGTGAGTCCTGCGCCGGCTAAGTTTTTCTTTTTAAAAATATTTTTTTGTAGTCCAACCTCTTGGGAGGCCAAAGCAGGAGAATTGCTTGATGAACCTGGAAGGCAGAGGTTGTCAGTGAGACGAGATCATGCCACTGCCCTCCAGCCTGGGTGACAGAGAGAAACTCCATTAAAAAAAAACCACAAACCCCCTCCCCCTCTCTCTCTCTCTCTCTATATATATGGGTTTTTAATATATATAAATATATAACATATTATATATGTATATATATATTATATATATATATTATATATATAATTATAATTATATATTTGTTATATAAATACATCATATATGATATATATTTATATATGATATATAATATATACAGGACATTTCGCACTTCTTAAGGCCAAAAGCTGCCTTGGGTGTTGGTTTGCTTCCAAGGCGGGCTTTGAAAGGGGGTGGAAGGCTCTAGATGATCCTGAAATCTCTGCGCTCAGGATGCTCTTAGTTAAGACACAGGGGTTGAGATTTTGTGTCAGCAAAAGGATACTGGGGTCATATCATATATTATATATATAAATATATAATATATAAAAGTATATCATATATATGTAAGCATATATGTGTGTGTGTATATGTGTGTGTGTGTATTTTGTTTTTGTTTTTTGTAGTACTGGGGTCTTGCTATGTTGCCCAGGCTGGTCTTGAACACTTGGCCTCATGTGATCCTGCCACCTCAGCCTCCCAAAGCTATGGGATTATAGGCATGAGCCACTGTGCCAGGCTATTGATCCCTTTTTACAAGTGACTTGCCTGAGGGTCCTCAGCTGGTGCACTGGCAGAGTAGGATTTGAACCCAAGACAAGAACCATGTTCTTTCTCAAATCACACCACACACGTGTGTTCAGGAACCCAGGGGGATTTTGTTCTGTTCCCCGAATGATACCCTGCACTAGGAGAAGACACAGACTTGGCTCCTCTAGTGGGGACCTGCTCTGAGCCCTGAGGCAACAAAGTGTGTTTGACATTAACCATTGACCTCCCTCAGCTCGCTCAGGTGCTCTCTTTGAAGTTGTTCAAAGGCCCTGTTTATCGATAGGAGGTATAGCCTTAGGAATAGGTGACCTGTCCCAGGTGGTGACCCTGGTTTTTACTGATGAGGCTCTTGGGTGTTAGCAACTCTCTCCTAAGGGCAAAGAAGATGGGTGCTGGTAAGAGTGTGTGGGACGCTCGGTGGGAGGCTTATGTATTCTTTGTATAATCTGAGTGACCCCAACAGGGGAATCACACTTTGAGCTCTTCTCAGCTGACATCGGGGGGCAGTGTGAGGCCCTCAGACTTGGGCGTCTGACGGACCTGAGTTTGAATCCTTGCTTTGCCCATTCCCAGCTGTGTGACTTTGTTCAAACCATGGAACAGCTCTGTGTCAGTTTCCTTCTCTGTAAAACGGGAAAGGAGGCCGAGCTCAGTGGCTCACGCCTGTAGTGCCAGCACTTGGGAAGCCGAGGTGGGTGGATAGCTTGAGCTCAGGAGTTCAAGACCAGCATAGGCAACATGGCGAAACCCTAGCTCTATTAAACAAATTAAAGAAATTGGCTGGGCGCAGTGGCTCACGCCTATAATCCCAGCACATTGGGAGGCTGAGGCAGGAGGAACATTTGAGGTCAGGAGTTAGACACCAGCCTGGCCAACATGGTGAAATCTTGTTTCTATTAAAAATACACACAAGGCCGGGCGCAGTGGCTCACGCCTGTAATCCCAGCACGTTGGGAGGCCGAGACGGGCGGATCATGAGGTCAGGAGATCGAGACTATCCTGGAGAACACGGTGAAACCCCATCTCTACTAAAAATACAAAAAAATTAGCCGGGCGTGGTGGCGGGCGCCTGTAGTCCCAGCTTCTAGGGAGGCTGAGGCAGGAGAATGCATGAACCCAGGAGGCGGCAGAGCTTGCAGAGAGCGGAGATCGCGCCACTGCACTCCAGCCTGGGCGACAGAGCGAGACTCTGTCTCAAAAAAAAAAAAAAAAATACACACAAAAAAATTAGCTGGGTGTGGTGGTGCATGCCTGCAGTCCTAGCTACCCGGGAGGCTGAGGCAGGAGAATTGCTTGAACCCGGGAGGCAGAGATTGCAGTGAGGCAAGATTGTGCCACTGCACTCCAGTCTGGGCAACAGAGCTAGACTCTATCTCTCAGGGGGGCAAAAAAAAAAAAGACTAAAAAATACATTTAACAGATGAAACATAAGAGTTTAAATAATTTTCTCTGAAAAAATTAGCTGGGCATGGTGGTGTGCGCCTTGTAGCCCTTGTAGCTTTTAAAAATAAACTATTTTGTTTTTTGAGAAAGGGTCTCCCTCTGTCACTCAGAGTGGAGTGAAGTGACATAATCATAGCTCACTGTAGCCTTAACCTCCTGGGCTCAAGGAATCCTCCTGCCTTAGCCTCCTGAGGATCTAAGCTACTTAGGAGGCTGAGGCAGGAGGATCGCTTGAACCTGGGAGGCAGAGGTTGCAGTGAGCCAAGAGAGCACTATTGCACTCCAGCCTGGGTGACTGGGTGAGACTCTATCTTAAAACAAAACAAAACAAAACAAAAGCAAGCAAACAAAAAAACAGGAAAGGAAATCGGACCAGCCTTACAGGGGTATCTTGAGGGAAAAAAAAAATGCCCAGTTCTGCAAAGCACCTTGCTTGGTGCTAGGAACGTGGTAGATGGTTCCTTAGAGTGCATGAGGATGGGGTCACCAAGGATAAGGTAGTGTGTGAAGAGGGCTCGGGACAAAGCCCTGAGGAACCCTAGTATTTCCGGGTAGACTAGAAGACAAGCCCACATAGCAAATAGAAGAGTAATGGCTGGAGCAGCAGAAGGGAAGCTGGGAGAGCCGGTCAAGGAAGGGTGAGCAGTCATGCCCAGTCCAGCCAAGAAGGCCAGGGAGGTAGGCACTATGAAGCGTCCTTGGCTTTGACAACAAGGAGGGCTCTGGTGGCCACACTGGAGAAGTGGGGACAGGGCCAGAGCACACTGAGCTGATG